TTGTGGAAGAGAGAATCGAGGAAGAGGGAGGGATTTTCTTTAATTTTAGTCAAACCCAACCAAAACGACGTCGTTTGCTAACATTTAATTATTTTTTTGTCTGCAAAAATTCGGCAAAAATTCGGCAAAAATTGTGTATAATTCGCGAATTATACGGATAGGGTATATAATTTGCGAATTATACGGCAGCCCTATAAAATACGTGAGTTCGCGTTTTATACGGGAATTATACGGCTAGCCGTATAATTCGCGTATAAAACGCGAATTTACTAACTAGGTGCAGGGTGACTCGGTGAATGTGAAAGAAGACAAAAGAGAAAGCAAAAGTGCCGTTTCATACCCACTATAAAGAGACCTCAAGAGTTAGAGAGTATAGTTTGGTGAATAATTTGAAAGGTGATCAACTAATTAAAATTTAAATTGGGTTTCAGTTATTAAAAAATAATAAAAAAAATTCTGGCCAAGTTTAAAATCAGAAAGATGATGATAATAATAATCAAAGTCTCGCTCATTTCTTGACACTTGCAGCATCATTTTCCTTGGCATACACAATCATGCCTATCAACAAATAAAAAACCCAAAACTACTGTTATATTCTATTTTGAATACTTTCTTAAACTATTGCCAAAGAAAAGTTATATGATGTTGTACCTACCACTCCCCGTGGACTTGTAGCCTGTAGGTGACTACCAAACTCTTGGGATTTGCCAAAGCTTTTGGCAAAAGGCTGTTATGAAATTTCATATTGTTCAGGAATGTTTCCCATAGTTTTCATTTGAGTTGTAGGTGGCTCTGGCCCTTAAGGTTGCAACTTCATCAATCTATTTTATTTCAAGTAATTTAATAAAGTAAGCATAATAAAATATTTATCTGATTTAACAATCAAGATAAGACTAAAAAGATACAAATTATAAGTGATGGTACGAAACAATTATGAAAATCAAATAAAAAAAGGTGGTTACTTTATTAAATTACTTATGATTTGACATCAAATTTAGTGACACAACCAGGTTGACTCATTTTCTTATAATATGGAAATAAGAAGGCATTTATTTAAAGTGAATAAATTAGAGAGAATAAAGTTTATGCTCATCCCATGCGTCATGCTCATATGTGTACTATTAAAACCAAAATTAAAATATTAGAGGAAAGGGAAATTCCATTTATAGTTGAGACCAAACACAAAGACGAAAGACACAAATTGATAGGCAGAGTTTCAACTCAAGTAAGCATACCCACATGCCTAATCTTCTTGCATGTTAATTCTTTTTCAATTACCTGTCTCCCTAGAACTCACAATTTCATAATTTCAATTTTGATTTGATGTATAGATGTGTGTTTTATATTACAAATTTTCAACATTCTCAATTTATTTATTTGCATATTATTATTAGCATTAATTATTAATTGATTACATGGCTAGTGATGATGTGGCAGATACGCAAGTAATTCATTTGTTCATCTGTCTCCTATTTTATTGATTTAATTAAGGATATTTTTCTACCTTATTTTTCTTTTCATGGAAAAATATGGTTATAATTTAGAATATTACATTTCAAATTTATTTGATTATTTCTATTTAATTCATGCATTTTGGTCAGTGTTATAGAATAATTTTTTTTCAATTATCTGGGAACATTTTTAATATACTGTATAATAGTAGGATGGACAATGAACAAACTATCAAATAAGTTAATTAGAATAAATAAAAAAATCATGCCTAGCCAGTAATTAATTAATCAATTATATATTAGAATAAATCTAAAACCGTTTCCAAAACATTCATTACAAGAGTTTGCTCATTGACATTGACAGTGACATTCTGTTAAAAAAAAAAACAAACAAACAAACAAACGCACGTTTAAACAAATGCTTATAATGCTCATGCTCATAATTAACGTATTAGAGAATTGGTTTATTCTCATGTTCATATATGTGCAATTTAACGCAAAGTCTTACTTTAAATTTCTCGCTTAATCTCTTTCTTCTTTCTCTAACTCAAAACTCATTGAGTTAATAACACTTTTCTTATGAAGCTTTTAGGTAGATGTTTTCTTGCTGAACAAAATACTTTATGAATAAGTTAATTGATTTGTTTCTCTGTCTTTTATTTTTATTGAGTTAACATTAGTTTAGTTAAAGATATTTTTCCACATTATTTTTTTTCATGGAGAAATATCTTTCATGTAATTATGTTGGTTATAATTTAGAATATTACATTTCAAATTTAGTTGATTATTTCTATTTAATTCGAGCATTTTGGTCAGTGTTATAGAATATATATTTTTCAACTATGTGGGAACATTTTTAATATACGGTATAATAGTGGGATGGACAATCGACAAACTATCAAGTGAGTTAATTAGAATGAATAATAAAATCATGCCTGGCCACTAATTAATTAATTATTAAAATAAAGAGTTAACCACTTTTTTCCACCTGAATAATGGTGTAATGATACTTTCTTACCCTTAAACATTTAAAATACCACTCCACTACCCAAACATTAGATTCCGTTAACAGTTTTTATGTGAAGATCAAAGTACCCCTACCAAAGATCAGCCCCCAATCGCTAGCCACCGTAATTCAAAGTTTTGCGAACCTCAACCCAAATTTCAGCTGATTCCAACACTGGAAATCGACTCGGTCACCACCAACTCACCGACGTCCCCCTACCAAAACCCCTCTCACCCCTACTCACAATCACTCCTCAATTGTCGATGACACTTGGAGTGGGGCAACTCGTCGAACACTTAGTGTATCCAGTAAATGCGTATTTGAAAATTTTCATGCATTATAAATATATAGCTTGTGGTTACCATTGAGGGCAATAATTTGTTGTCAAGTAATATTTCCATATTTTTAGATATTTATCTACAACACAATGAGGTTGTATCTAATTGATTTAACATTCACATATGATATTTTTAATTAATCATATCACATAATTTCTTTTGTGGTAGCACTTGTTTGGATTGGTGATTGGTTCAACAAATAAGGTTGCAGCTTGAGGTCACAGTTCGTTAACACGAGCTAGTCAGATCGAGGTCATAGTTTGTCAGCGCTAGCTAGTCAATAATATTAGGTTTTTCTCATTAAACTTAATATATAAACATATTATTCTCTTATATGAGTGATAGAAATCATAGACAAATGCATTCATTGTAACGAGAGAAGTGAGGAGATATTTTCAATAATATTAGTTCTATTAGATGTAGTCTGTTTTGGATGAATCAGGATAAATCGCGCATGTATTTTTTTTTTTACTGTTTATGTTATTTGTGTGTAATTGTTTACATGTTTGGTTTCGATTACTTTCTAGATTGTTTTAGCACTTACTATATTATTTTTGGCCTTTCAAAATTTTCGATGGCCTACCACTAATAGAAGTTGGCAGAGAAATAGATGAGAATAAGTGTAAACGAGTTTAAGAATACTAAATTAAGATTTAGGAGAAGAGTATAGAATGAGCATCACTTTTAGATTAGATTATAAACAATTTTATATAAGTTATTTTTGACACATGCGGTTGAAATCAGAATAAAAAAAAACTAGTTAAATTATTTGTTATTAACAATTCTTATAAAACAAAAAAATACACTTTAATGTTCCCCTCTTTCTATTATTTATTTTAACTCAATAAACACAATCGAACCGACGGTTTATAATTGTCTTTTTCACTTCATCTTTCTTTAATCCAAGATTTTATGTGAAAAGAGACATCATTAGACACCACGGAGTTTGGCTAATATAACAAAATGAAATACATTGGATATACATTCCTTAACAGGAAAACACACATTTAAATATTACAATATATAGAATATTGCTAAAACATCATTTTAACATTTATAATAAATAAATAAATAAATTCCAATTTGTTACTTCACAGTAGACAAATGTCCTCCAAATAAATAAGTAAAGTCAGGTAACATCATGGCTATCTGGCTTTAAAATTAGCCGAGTAGCCATGAAAGGACAAACATCCACGTGAGACAAACACAAGTCTAGGATTTCGATAGTTGGACCCACTTAAGAGTTCAAATGTAGTGTTAGCCTTACAAACCTAAATTACAAACATCTAAAAATTACCTTCACCAATGGTTTGACTTTTAAAATATGTGTTTCTAAAACATTTAAAATTATATATATTGTTTTTAAAAATTATAATAATATATGTCAATTAAATATTTATAAAACTACAACACGATATTTTATTAAAATTGTACATATTTTATGAAATTTTAAATATAATTTCCAAAAAAAATGAAAACTTGTAAAAAATAAGAAAAATCCAAAAATAGAAAATTATAAAAATTTGAAAAAAAAAAAAAACTGAAAAAAAAAAAAAAAAGATTTTGACTCCTACCAGTAAAAAGTACAGGCACCTTTGCGGCCTTGTTTTTGTCACTTTCGGTGTTAGGGTGGCTAGCTTTTGGTTTCCACGCACTTTCCGTATCGAATCTTGTTTGTGTATTACATGATTATCATTATATATATTGTTTTCATCCCATAGCAACAAAAATAATTTAACTCTTGAATTAGATTTAATTCCAGAGGGGAAACAGTTATGCTCCTCACTGATAACAATTCCGATACTGAATCACACCTGCCGCCCTGGCTTATGATGTTGGATGGGGAGAGACATTGGTATTTTCTTGACTTACTGAAAAATGGGAGCCCTCAATTAATTACGCCGAACTTATTGGAGAAGAAGCAGTTTAAATTAAGTGTTTGATTAAGGGATAAGGGGTTAGAACCATCAATAGACAATGAGGGGAGTCGGGGACGTCAAATCCAGCCTAATTTTTTTTTTTTCCAAGGATAAAAACAAAATAAGCAGCGCGTGTCTTTTTATTTAATAAAGTAAATTAAGCAAAGTCGTTGGATGGCATCATAGATTCGCAGCGTTAATCAACAGTAATATACTTTTCCGCTCTAATAAAAGGAACAATGCATGTTAAGATAAGTACTTATGTTAACACATAAATAAAGTCAAGTCAATGGCGCATACTCGGGCCTCGAGACGTTTTGCTCTTGCCACTCAACTGAGTAATGGAATTATTTATGTTGAGTGGATAATTTAATTGGTTTGATTGATTAATGTAATGCAGAATCTGCAGGTATTGATCAAATACTGAGAGACGCCAGAGAACGATGGTTGCATCCAGCCGAAATCTGTGAAATAATTCGAAACAGTAGCAAGATTCCTATTGCTTCTGAACCTCATAAAAGGCCTCCCAGTATGTTCATCTTGAATTTTATTTTTTTCCATATTGATATCGTTAACACATACTGGCTTGATTTAGGTTAACTTCTAATTTCAGGTGGATCAGTTTTTGTTTTTAATCGGCACGTCGTGAGATACTTCAGAAAAGATGGCCATAACTGGAGCAAGAGAAGTGATGGAAAGACAGTCAAGGAAGCTCACGAAAAGCTCAAGGTTAGTTTACCAAAATTGATTAATGGTTTATTCGAAGTTAACTTTGAACAAGAAAGATCAACATGCACGCAGCTTTTTTCTCTCAGGTTGGGAATGTTCCCATGTTGCAGTGCTACTATACGCATGGAGCAGAAAATCAAAATTTTCATAGACGTATTTACTGGATGCTCAAAGAGTAAGCATTTAGAATTTTACTCTCACAGTTCTTGACTTGATTTGAGTGACTAGTTGGGATAGAGGATGCTGCTGGTTGATGATAATATTATAATCTTTTTGTTATCTTGTAGGGTTTCCAATAGTTTTTTTTTATATGTTTGAGATGCACCAATTTGAATGATAATGATTGTTTAGTTTGATTAATACTATTCATCTGCTTATTCAACTTCCCGGGTTCTGTTCTTCAATGGCCGGGATGTCTGTTTACAAATTAGTGTCATTAGTTTCAGCTGTGATATCTTCTCTCTTTTTTCTGCTACCTATCTAATTTACTACTATTGCAGGCAATTTTCAAGCATAGTTGTTGTCCACTACCTAGAAACAAAGGTTGCACTTTGTCCTATCAAGTCTGTTATCTTAATTACCGTTGTATTTCTCTGCAAGTTACACTATTTTTCTCAGAAACATATCCTCCACTAATTAGATTTATGTAGTTCTTCCCTCTTATAAGCATGTTCTTGTTTGCCTCATGTCCTTCTGCAAACCTCAATTTATTTTCTTCTTTCTTTTTGAAATTATCAGGGAAATAGGAGAAATTTTAACTGCACCAAAGTGACTAAAAAAATCACTCAATATTCCAATGAAATTGAACCCAATTTGGAGATAAGAGGTTCTCTGTCTTGCGGTGTCCATCCTAACAGTTACCAATTGCCTTTACAAACTACTGATGCAACAAGCCCGGGCAGTGCTAATAAGAATTTAGAACATGAGAATGCTGAATCAAGTAAATTCTGGTAGCTTTTACAGGTTATCAACATATAATTTCACTTGTGTTATGTACTGCAAGAGATACAGTATAACTTTGTAAATATGTTTGTTGGTTGCTGCTAGTTGCAGGAGATGCCTTGGAGGATTGGGCTACCGAATTTGACTCTCAGCTTCTTCATCATCTGTTGTTTTCTTCACCATCTCAAACTGACACCACAGAAAACATATTTGTATCAGAAGATCACATACTGGAAGAGCTTTTTCCTGACAACCTTGATGCATGTTCGGAGTTCAGAAGTCCAGAAAAGATTCAAGAGGGTAGACAGGTAATAAATGATACAGCTTGTAGGATTATTATATTGGCATCAAATGTTTACTATTAGATGAAATGAGTCTTTTTATGCACATCCTGACAAGCAAAATGATCTTAAATGCAGCATTTAGAGAGCGATTCTTATTATCACTTTAGAACAGAGGATGGTGAGAGGAGTGATGGTTCCGACATTCCCTCGGATCCCTATGAACGCGGTAGAGATCTCTCCCAACATCGGCTTGAAAGCTTTGCCAAGTTCCCACCACAATGGTCATATATCGGCTCAGCAATCCAGGTAGACTGTAATTTATATTCTATCTGCTCTTCAATGTTTAATTTTGTAGACTAATTTTTATTGTTATAAACAGAACACTGAAAATGAAGCTATTCATTTATCCGAGCAGCCCATGGATCAGAACTTGTTTTCGGACTCGACACTGGATCTTACTTCAGTGTTTTATGAGCAAGGCATTGATTGTGATGTTATATTTGATTCACTTGATATGCAAAATGGTCCACAAATACAGGAAACTGCAAAAAATTGTGGATGGTCTCCTATGTTTGGGGAAGTGGAAGTTTCGGCAGAAAAAATGGTTGATGGTTTTCTTGATTGCCATAATCCTGAACAAGAAGTTGGGTTAGCTTGCACTGAACTGCCAGAATTTGAATGTGGTCAGATCAGAATTGAAAGTCTCTGTATACGATTTGGAAAGTTACTCTGTCTGAGTTCGGTTGATGTTCCTACTCCAGATTATGATCCTGGCGAAGCAAATGAAGTATCTCAAATGAGCGGTAAAATCAGTACATTGCTAAAAGAGGACAGTGGTGATTGGGACCAGATGTTAATACATACTTTAGAAGGAAAATTTTCATCAGAAATGGTAAAGGAAAAGCTTCTGCAGAAGTTTTTCAAGGAGAAGTTGCTTGCATGGCTCTTGCAGAAGGCAGGTGAAGGAGGAGAAGGTCCCAATGTGTTAGATCAGGGTGGCCAAGGTGTGCTTCATTTCGCTGCTGCTCTTGGCTATGATTGGGCCATTGAACCCACAATTGTTGCCGGTGTAAATATCAATTTTCGCGATGTGAATGGATGGACTGCACTTCATTGGGCGGCATATAGTGGCAGGTAAATGCCTTTAGTAATTTCTTTCTATATGTTTAAATTGCTTCTTCCCTGCCTTCCTTTTATTATTCAAGGCACCATATAGGAAGAGCTGGGCTATGACAATAAGTTTAACAGAATGCTCAAGTTGGGAGAGTTTGAGCACCAGCCATTAATAAATCAAAACCTTGAAGTGTGGTCTTCGAAATTCTCCCTATTGCTTTGTTACTAATATTTTGGTACTTGAATTTCTTGTGTTCCAGAGAGCATACATTTGCGTGCCTCATCTCTTTTGGTGCAGCTCCTCAAGCACTATCAAATCCAACTCCCATATATCCTTCAGGCCAAACACCTGTCGACTTGGCTTCTGCCATTGGACACCAAGCAATTATTGGTTATCTTGCAAACTCTGGTCTGAGTTCTCACATTTCATCCCTGAGTTTGCACCAAAAGGATGGAGATAATTTAAGAATTTGTTGGAGCCAAAGTAGTTAAATTCCCACATAATCTGATCTCGAGAGCAGGTTGGCCTTCTTGCACAAATTTTTTTAAGCTTATTAGTTTATATATATATATGGAAATTCTAATAAGCAGACTCAAATTGTAGATATAAAATCAAATCTATGTGCATTCTATAGTAACCATACTGACACTCTGATAGCAAGAAAGCGTTTTACTAAATGGTGTCTTTAACAAGTAAAGTAAGCGACTGGGGTAAATAAAAGAATAAACTCTGTAAAGTCAGGGGAGACGCGTAGTGTAAGTGTTCAGTCCACAAAAGCAAATTTTATTTTTATCCTATAAATAACGGTCCTACCTTTTATTTTAACAAAAACCCTATTGTTAATGGCGGGGAATAGGCGGTATGCCTATGTAGCTCAACCAGGTGACAAAAATTCAATCATTTTGTGTTAATTTTAATTTTTTCTGGAAATGGAATAGTTAGAATCTATGGCGAATGCAGATGTTGAGCAGATACTGTTAGAAGCACGACATCAATGGCTTCATCCACGTGAGATTTGTGAATTGCTTCGAAACTCTAACAAATTTCGTATTTCTCTTCAGTCTCCGAACCTGCCGCCAAGTAAGGAAAGAGAGAGTTTTAGCAAATAGTTTTTAAATTCATTGTCGCAATATCTCGGTTTGATTTACATTTGTGATTTCAGGTGGTTCGATTTTTCTTTTTGATCGGAAGGTGGTGATACTTTAGAAATGATGGCCATAAGTGGAGGAATAAGAAAGATGGAAAGACAGTGAAAGAATCTCATGAAAAACTGAGCGTGAGTAACAAAATTAATTAATTGGTTTTTTATTGAAAATATGAAGCACTGATGCGGGGGGTAATATACTAATCTTTCAGGCGGGGAGCGTAAACGTGTCGCAATGCTACTGCGCCCGTGGAGAAGATAATGGAAACTTTCAAAGACGAAGTTATTGGATGCTCCTAGAGTAAGTCTCTGAGATTTAGTTCGTTGGGGTTCACTTACATTAGATTGGCAACTCTGGTGCTCAATGGAGCTATTGTTTGTTGATTTCATAAGTAGAGCTAGTTATTTGTGCTCGAAACAAGATGCCGTGGGGTTGTGTAAATAGTATTGCGGAATCAGAAATGTTCGGCTTCTGCAAAATTTTGCTGTGATATCTTACTTAATAGACCCTTATTGGCCACTGCAGGGAGCTTTCAAACACAGTTCTTGTCCACTATCGAGAAGTAAAGGTTAGACAATTCTCTCTTTATATTCTGCACTGCTCAGTTTTTCATCTTTATATTACTTGAAATGAATTACTGTGCTCAGAAACATGTACTCCTCTATAATTCATTTCTAAAAGATTTACCATTGGTAACTAAGGCTTTTCCTTGTTTGCTTTGTGCCTTCTGCAAATCCTGTATGGCTTAGATAGAATATACTGATACTTGAGAATGCACATTTGATGTTTTATGCTATGTTGTCCTTTTGTGCCAGCCCTCAGAAAATTCCTGACTTCCAGTCATGGAATCATTTCGCGAAAATTTGTGATGTCAATGTTGGATCTCTTCCTTCTCAATGTCACCCATCATTTTCTTCCACTCAAACCAAAACCATTGGAAGCATTCCTTAACAAGGTGGAATTTTGGAACAGCTTTTTGCCAAAAGTTTTGGTGAATCCCAGGAGTTTGGGAGTCACCTACAGGTCCATGGGGAGTAGCAGGTACAATATCATATAGCTTTTTTTTTGCAATAGTTTAAGGTTGGTAGAAAGTGTTTAAAATAGAAAATGATCTATAAGGTTCGTTCTACAGATCTTTTGGGTTTTTTTTATTTGCAATTACATTACAGTGACAAGAATAGATGCTTTGGAAGCTGTTAGGACTGAAAAATCTAGCGCTCTCTTGATAAATCATGTTTCTATAACTCTTTTAACTTCAATTACTCTTGTTCAGATTTTAATTTTTCTTGTCAACAGACATTCGAAAATGATTCTGCTAGCAAATGTCTCACATATTCAGACTTGGCACAAGATCTTACTTCAAGGTTTTCTGAGCAAGACATTGATTGTGTTGATTTACTTGATTCCTTTGCACCTTCATGTGCACATCCACGCAATCAAAATGATGTTCAAAGACAGGTTCCAAATGCAGAACGTTCACACATCTTGCAATCAGAATCAGAAATAATTTCGACTATAGAGGGGAAATCCATTCACGCTGATGCTGATGAGTGTCATGTGCAGGAGAAGGTTTGAAGAAGATTGAAAATTCCTAAGTGCGTAATGAGTAAGGAACTTGCTGATGCTGATGAGTGTCATGTGCAGTTCGGTTCTGAGGCAGTTGAAATTGAGACTAGGATTAATGGTTGTAGCATTTCCACTCAACCGCACTTGGGTACGGATCCTTTTCTCTCTGAAGACCAGCTATCAGGCATTATTAAATTCACAACAAATCGGGCATGTGTTGTGTGGGCTCTCAAACTGGAGATATACTAAACTTTAAATTCCTTTTTCGTGGCAATATGTCAAGCTTTAGGCATCTCAACTATTCAATCTCAACTATTCAATATAGGCAGGAACGTTAAATAAATTGTCAAAGTAAAGCTTTGTTCATCTTTTACAGTAACATTCAGTAAATGCTATTTCAAATTTCTAGTTTATTTTTCACTTTACATTCACTGATTTTTGTTCATACTTTTAATTTTCATTGTAAAAAGACATCTGAAAATAATTCATGTGCACATCTAGGCAAGCAAAATGAAGTTAAGCAGCCTTTAGATTTTCTTTTGGAAATAGATTCAGACTATTCTTTAATGGAGGAAGATTTGAAGAAAACTGAAAGTTCCAATGGCCTGATAAAATAGCTTATATAAGAAATACTTTTCATATAGTATGTGTAATGTGACATTAATGTCTAAAATAAATAAATAATGTTATTTTTACTCATATTAAATTGGTCCTCTTTAGTGGAGCTCAAGTAGTTGTAATCAAATTAAGTGTAGAGGATAAATGTTGGTCTCCCAATTTGAATCCATTAATTAGAGAGATAAATGTTGTGGACCAGGTTAGGCTCCGGTCGATGAGCATTTCCTTTAAGAATAACTCCAAAGTTCAGCAAGTTTTGGAGGAGTGGGGTATCCTGATGAGGTGCCTTGTGGTGGGTAATAGAAATCAGTGATGTCTCTTGTGGCTGGTGTTTTTTATTTTGGTGTGGCTGATCACGTTGGATCTCCGGCTGCTGTTGTGTGTGGGTGGTGTCTTTCCTTCTAGGGAGTCTAGAGAGTGTACTGTTATGCCACTTTGCGTGTGCTTCTGTGCAAAGAAGAGTGTGGTTGGGCTTGGTTGGAACTGGTGTTTTGGCTATGTGGATAGGATGGTGGTGGGGGCTGATGGGAGGTGTTGGGTGTGGGGTTTTCGTATGTGGTGGGATATGGGGTCTGGTCAGGAGGGAGGAGGAGGTTTTGGAGTGGGTGGGCTGCGGCCGGGTGTAGGGGGAGGGGTGAGGTTATGGGTTGGTTTTTGGCTTGCTGGGGTTGGAGGTGCTGTGTTGGTTTTTGGCTTGCTCGCTGTTGGAGTCAGTGGCGTTTTGCTCTCTTGTGGGAGCTTTGGTTGATGTTTTTGCGTTTTCTTTTGGAGTGGTCAGATCTCCCTGCAGTCTTGTTGGCGTGGCTGGACTGTCTTTTCCCTCAAGGCAGCTGCCAAAGGCTTTTTGTGGATTTGGCGATTGATTGTTTTTTCCTGCATGCTTGGTCTCCTACCTGGTTGTTTGATGGTTGGCTGGGCTGGTGTTTTATCTGCAGTTCTTGATGGCTGGGGGTTGGCCGCTGGATGATGCTTTGATTGGGTGGTAATTTGTGATTGTTCTGTCTTGCGGTGTGGCTGCTGTTTTGAGCTGCTTTTGTCCCGTTTTGTGTAGGCTCCTCCCCTGGCTGTTTTTGCTGTCTTGGGGTGTGGTGCTGTGATTAGGCTTGATTCCCAGCTGGGGTGTCTTGCTAATTGTAAAGGATTGCATATCCTTGATTTGGTTCTTATAGTTAGTGGTCCTATGTGTCCGTTAGGATTTGCTTTGTTTGGGATTTCTCCCCTTTAGTTATAAATTCTTTATTCATTATAAAATTACCAATTACTCAAAAATAATATCGAGAGACCTTCCAACTAATAGCATTGGTAAATGTCCGGAACAGTTGATTTTTAAACCGATTCTGGGGCACAACTAATGTATTAATGATAGAGATTATATGCTATTATATTGTTGTTATCAAATTCTATTAGATCATCACAAACTTTTCTTTGCCAATAATTGCGAGATTAGTTGAAAGTCAGTAATTGGGTTATTGCTTTATTTTAAATCATACAATCCAAGACATTAAATTCTATTCTACAAGGTTTTTTGGATTATGCTTTGGAATTACATTTTAGACTTTCCATTGCTGGTGACAAGATACATACTCAGTATGAAAATTTACAAGCTATAACATATTAATTATACTTCCCTGCTGAAGCAAATATTTAGTAAATTCTAATTTCCAGCTGCTTTCTTTTTCCCTTTTACATTCATTTAATTTTGCCTACTAATCTTCAAATGCAAGACCCTGCAGCTAATTCTGGCGACATTACACATGAAAGTCTCCATATAAGATTTGAGAACATGTTGTCTCAAACTTCTGTCTGTCCAAACTATGATCACAGCAATATTAGTAAATTTCTTGAGTTGTGCAGTAAAATTGAACAGTTGCTAAAAGAGGAGGGTGGTGATTGGGGCCAGATGTCAATACGTACTTTAGAAGATAAATTCTCCTCTGAAATGACTGCAGAAGTTGCCTTACTGTGTTGGATGGGGGGTGGCCAAGGTGTGCTACATCTTGGCGCTGCTCTTGGTTATGATTAGACCCTAAAGCGCACTGTTGATGTAGGTGTAGATATCAATTACGCTGATGTAAATGGATGGACCGCACTTCATTGGGCAGCATATTGTCACAGGTGAACACCATCAAAATCATCTTGCTTATTTCTTTTGAAGTAAATTTTAGCTCTAGTAAATTTTGCTTGTATAAAAAACATGGTGAAATAATAATTTGTAATCTAAATTCTTCTGATAACAGAAAGCATACAGTTGAGTTTCTCATCTCTAAAGGTGCAACTCCTGGAATACTATGCCTTCCACCTCCCAATTATCACAGGGAAAAAACACCTGCTGACTTGGCTTTTGCCACTGGACACAAAGAAATTTGCGATTATCTTGAAGAAAAAGTAGAGCTCGCGGTGGCATCCCTGGAGCTTTTATAAACAGCTCCTAGACTGTTTTTTCAAGAATTATTGTTTGGGTGAAAACATTATTGACAAGTTTTCAATTCTTCTCATCCCTATATCTTATCATTTATGTTCCATCAATCATCAATATGAGTTCTGCAAAGTTCAACGCTTGAACTTGAAGTGATTTATAGGTAGCTACTAAATTCTGAAAATTAGAATAAACTAATACTACACCCACAATCTTTTCTCACTAAATTTCTCTCACAATTCCAATGAAACAACTTGGTCAACTTATAAATGGTCTTAGCTGATAAATTATAGTGTTGACCAATTACGAGTTGCTACGTCAGAGTTGTGAGAGAAATTTTGTGAAAAAAGATTACAGATATAATATTACTCATTAGAGTGAGAGTCGTAATTTACAGTATTATGAAGCCCAACTTTTAGCCCATATCAGTTTGTTTCTTAATATTAAAGTCCATTTATTGTACTAAAGCCCATTTATTATACTATATCGCAATTACAAGCCCATGTCAATTTGTTTACTAATATTAAAGCCCATTTATTATTCTGTAGCCCAATTCTAAGCCTATACTTGTTTGCTTCCTAATCTTAAAGCCCATTTATTGCGAGATGAGTGAAATACTAAATTTGGGTTTACAATAGGAAGACCAATACCCACTATAAGTCACCGATAATGATTGATACCTCTACACGCGAATACCCACCGATAGGCTATCCTAGGTTTTGTTGACAACATCAAAATCTCTTCAATTTTCAATATCACCTAATAAAAATGAACCAAATAACGAACATGAACCACCCATCTACATAAAATATCACAATTAACATGTTTTTTACACATATATTTCTACGAGTTTTGAAGAAGTTAAAGAAGTTAAGCTCTTTGTACCAAATTTCGAGATTCATTCACTACCACATTAGCACACCAAATTTTTAGTTGTTAGCTACTTGAAGGAATCAGAGAACAATAAATTTTGTACAATTTTTATTTAGTTGTATGATAACAAAACATTATTGTTTTATTTATTGAATGGATTAAATTTATCTTATCTATAATTTAATTTAATTTTTGTACTCTCTAATTAAGTCTTTTTTATTAATGGATTCAAATTGGGAGACCAACATTTATCCTCCACACTTATGTATAATTATATATTACAAATTGTTTTATATTACAAATTTTCAACATTCTCATTTTATTTATTTGTATGTTATTATTAGCGTTAATTATTACTCCCTCTGTTTCCAAATAAAAGTCGTTTTGAGGGCAATAATTTGTTTCAAAATAAACGACGTTCTCTTCTTTCAATGACCCATATCTTCATTCTACGCTCCTCTCTCTCTTTTTATTTTTCTCTTCCCCTCATCTCCTCTCTTTCACAATTTGTCTCTCTTTATTTTAATATTTCACTGTCTTACACACGCGTTGCAAAGGGAGAAACAAAATTTTCCCTCATGCAACATGATGAAAAAGTCAATTCGCTGCACAGTTTTCGATTTCTTAAAAACTGTGTAAAAACTTAAAACGACACTTATATAAAAACGGAGGGAGTAATTGATTACATGATAAGTGATGACATGACAGTTATGCAGGTAATTGATTTGTTTATCTCTCTCTTATTTTATTAAGTTAATATTAATTAATTAAGGATGTTTTTTCACATTATTTTTTTTTCATGGAGAAATATATTTCTTATTGGTTATAATTTAAATATTACATTTCAAATCTATTTGATTATTACTATTCAACTCATGCATTTTGGTCAGAGTCATAGAATAAATAGTTTTCAACTATGTGAGAACATTTTTTATATACGGTATAATAGT